CTTTTATTATTTTAAAAATTATTTTTAAATTATAGTTTCAATAGATAACACATGCACATGGTTTTTAGAAATCAAATGCAAGTTTATCTTCTAGAATAATGCCTATACTAGCATTTGTGTTTATTTTCAATTCACTTGTTTTTTCACCCATATTCTTTCCTACTCTTCTTGTTCTGTCTCCTCCTTTTGATTCTGTATCCCACCTCCTGCCTGATGAAAGTACCGGAAGATAATGATGTCACCCCACTGTCTGCAAACCTTAAGCCCACTAGCACTACCCCTGCTTTCTTCAAAGTCTTTCACTGCAGTTGCCCTTGGGGTAGGGAGCCCACTACCCAAAGGATATTTCCTTTATTTGCCTTAACTCTCCAGCAATTTGAAGAAAGCAGCATGGGGAATTGTCCGTGAGAAGTTCTGTATTACCTGTTCTTTCCCTTAAACTGGACTTTCCAAGTGCAATTTCAGTGGAGGCTGGTAGTGAGGGGAATCAAGGAAGGATACTTCCTAAAGTGCTTTAGATTTCCAGGAACCAATACCTCGCTGGTTCTGATTCCTGAAAGTGGAACTCTGCCAGTTACATCTTTCCATTGTCCTCCTCTTTCCCCCCAGGACCAGCAGAGTTGCATGGGATTTTTCCTCTGTAAGAACTCAGAGGGTGGAGGTTTTATATTTGTGAAGGGGGGCGGGGTGGGCTGTAGAGGAAGGAGGTGCAGGCCAAGACCCCTGAGTGGAGAGGAATCCTGGGGCTCAGGGCCCTGTCACTCAGGAACAGCCTCCAGATAATTTTGTAAGAGACCATATATGTGGCTTACTTCTTGCCAACAATCAGCACAATCAACTTTTTTCCAAGGCTTTTTCTATGCAGGGCAAAACAGACTGAGAAGTAGAAAAAAATTAGCAAATAAGCCCATTTTTATCTATATGATAAAATAGAAGTTGTTCAAATTCCTTTTACTGAATTATAAGGTATTTTAGGAGTTGTGTAGAGTGTCTAAACCTAGTAGCTACTCCAGTCACTACATTTTCTTTTATTTTTTTCATGTTGCATGACCCTGACCTGGATCCCAAACACGTCAAAATATACAGGTTGGTTAGAAGCTGACACTTCTAAGAAGCCCTGTGGATTGGAGGGTTGGGAGGGAGAAGATTACAAAATAAGGACTTATCCTTTTGCTAATGTAGGGAAATAATGGAAAGGAATGGATTAAGTATCAGCTTGAGTTTGGTAAGAAACTGAGTATAAGGAAACAGGGAAATGAGTAAGAGGTGAAGGAATCACCATTCATTCATTCAAAATGTTTACAGTGTGCCTGGCAATGTGCCCGTTACTGGGGGAGAAGGAGTAAGGGTGAATGGAACCAGGCAGGATCCCTGATCTCCTGAAGTTTACAGATGCTTTGGGGGAGGCAACTGTTAGTAAAATAACTATTGAAAATGTAATTGCACACTAAGCTCTCTAAAGGAAAGAAGAGTGTATACATGGACTGCACTGCATGACCAAGTAAGGCTTTCTCAAGGAGGTTTCCCTTGAGCTGATATTCAAGGGGAGATGGGAATGTTGGGGATATATACCTGGTTTTGAGATAGGATCATAATGTATCAGTTAGGAATTGCATTTAGCTGCTTGGAATCAAGAAGTCTGTCTTCCATGTGGTGTTTGCCATACAGTGTGTGCACGCACGTAGAGTTGGCATTTCTGGAATTTGGGGAAAGGATGCTTTGTTATCATCGAATCATTTGTCCTGTCTTGAGTTGGTCATGTTTTCCCATTGCTGTCATTCTTGCTTTTAAGTTAAATGTTTAAATTAATTTTATTCTTACAGTGACAGTTTATTGTTATCACTGAGTACTTTCCCAGGTGAAAACGGTGTGGCAGGTAGACTGCAATATCTTCTCCCAAGCCCTGAAACTGCTCGTACCTTTTCACAGTTTCATATATAGTCCTTAAGTAAAGGGGAAAAAGCTAATTGCATTGATACTGTCAGTAAAAGTAATATAAAGCTCACAATGGGGTTCTCTGACAAGCAACATATTTTATGTGCAAATAATTATTTTCATTTCTTCCAACACTACTTACAGCAAATTTTCTAATGTCCAGCACTGTTTTAGATACCATGGATAAAATGGGTTAGTAAGACATGGTCCCAGCATTTAAGGAGTTCATAGAAGTCTAACAGGTGGGACTCATACTCATCCATGTACGGCTAGGAAAGAACTGTGGTTGCTATAATAAAGTTACAGTGATGCACTGGGAAGGGAGTGGTCAGTTCTACCAAGGAAAGGAGGGGCTCAGAAAAGTTTCATGGAAGAGTTAACATTTGAGTTGAATCTTGAAAGATGAGACATTCCACAATCTAGACAAAGGAGAGAGGGCATTGTAGAAAAGGGTTTAGTATGCAAAAACAAACAAACAAAACCCACAGAGACATAAGGTCCAGGAGACAAAGGAGAGAGGGCATTGTAGAAGAGGGTTTAGTATGCAAAAACAAACAAACAAACAAAACCCACAGAGACATAAGGTCCAGGACATTCATGTGGCTCAAAGAACTGAAGCATAAGGAACAAAGAGGGGCTATTAAGAGATAAGACTGGAGTGGTGGGCAGGGCAGGTCACAGAGAATCTGCACACCATCATATGGATAGCCTGGTGGTGAAAGTATGCACTCATATGGACCCAGATTTGAGTCATGGCTTGGCCACTTTCTAGCTGTGGAACGTTGGTTAAGTAACTTGGCCTCAATATATAATGGTAATGAAGGTTGTACCACCCTCATTGAGTTGCTGCAAGAATTGAGATAAGTCATGTAGTAACTGTCACAGATTATGCACCTGGTTATTGTTGGCTATTGTTTTCATTATTCATCTTAGGACAAAGGGAACCACTGGAGAGTTTTAAGTAAAGGAGTGATTGAGTGAGCATTTTGTTTAAAGCACAATCACTCTGGCTGCCTATGGATTCCAGGTTAAAGGGGAGTAAGTTTGGGGCAGAGAAACCACTTGAAGAGATTATAATCATTCAGATAACAGTGAAGATGGCATGAATGCTGGTGGCTAGGGTAGTAGCCCTGGAGAAAAGGAGACAAATGCTTGAGATGTCTGTGGGGGAGGCTCCACAGAACTCAGTTACTCATTAGGTGTGGGGAATGGGATTCTGATCTGTCATCCTTCGGTTCTGTCATCCAAGTGACCTCAGGGTAAACAAAAAGAAGCCGGCGCCAAGCAGGACTAGGGATCCGGTATCTAGGAAGTGCTTATGTGAAGAGGACTTAATGATTGGTACCCCAAAAGCTGTCTTCTAACTCAGAAGGTCCCTTGACAACTAGTGTGTCATAGAGTAAAAGGATCAGAAAGACTTAGTTGATCCAGAACAAATAAAATTCTTTGTTTCTCTCTCTCTCTCATCTCTGGGAGGCTTTTAGTTCAAGGTAAATGAACATTAGACTTTATCCATTTGCCATTGTCATAAAGTGGCACATATAACCCTCACTCATGCCTGGCAGTTTTGATTCAACTCTTGCCTGACAATAACCTGATTGAAGTTTTTCTCCTCTTTTCTCGTGTCCTGTAATCCCATAAGCACTGGCTGAGGTGCCTTGACTAATGCCAGTGAGAATTAGAGGATTTAGGCGGACCCTACTTTATCATGCAGAGTAATGTTGGTTACCATTGCATCCATTCATAAAAGAGAAAATAACCCAGACCTGTGTGATAGTGTTTGCTGAAAAGTTTCCGGGAGCTTTATGCCTATTTCCCCCAAATGTGGATCCTGGGAAAAGCTGATTGATTGTAGTAGCTTGAACAACTGTATCATTACTCAAAGGCACAGAAATGAAAAGACATTATAATTAGGCAGAACCAATGAGTGAGGTGGCAAAATGTGAAGTGAGGAAAATAAGTCTAGACTTTGGATATAAGTGGACTTTCGATGTCT